ATAAGTCTTTGATACCAGTTCAGTATTTTCTCGATTATCCGGATACGTTGGTATAGGAGGTGAAAAATTTGTTCGGATAATTCACAATTCAGCATGATTAAATACTTAAATTATCGAAAAAGGATGACGAAAAAAGTCATTTTCTAAAAAGAAATCAAGATTTATATGATTAAATAACATAAAACGTTTTGTTCAAGGTTTTGGCCAGTTTATTCTTTATGAAAAAAATGTGTCAATTTTTGTTTTGCAGGCCTTGCATTTTTCTGCCGTTATCTCCCGAAAGTGAATTAAAATAAATGTATTTGTCAAGGTGGCTTCTGGTTGAAAGCGCAATCAACTTAATTATTTGTCAAACATAATCATTGTTTTTAGCAAACGTAAAGAAAGGTTTTTGAAAATTCTCAAAACGCTTGTCTGAGATGAAAAATTTGAATTGGTTTAGTTCGGATAATCGATAAATAGTTGAATGATTTCAATTTTTATATTCATTTCACGTCCGGATAATTGAAGTCCGTAAAATCGACGGCTGGATAATCGAGGTAGTACTGTGCTGCGGAATATGCAACAATATTAGTCAAAAGGGTGGTTACACGTCTTTTTTTTTTTTTTTTTTTTTACGGGAAAATATTGATTTAAAAATATACAGCCCTTAAACGGGAGAAAGAATTTAGTGTTTTTTTTAGAGTAAACACAAAAACAATTTTTGTCGTAACTAATATTTTATCGCTAACCTTCCGTTAGTACTATCGGGCACAAACAGAGTACAGTTTAGTACTGTAGCGTTTACAAACAACTCATTCAAAATATTATGAACATATCATTTAGTTCTCAATTTTCTTGTGACATAGTTTATTTTTGTTTTTATTGGATAAAAAAGCAAACAAGACAAACAAAAACAAAATGTTTTGTTTTGGAAAATCGAATTAAATGTCGATATAAAAAAATCAATTTGTGAGTTTAAAAAATATGCAAAAATTGGTTTAATTTTCTTTTTAATATGATCTGTTATATGTATATTCCTTTTCTTAGCTAAAAGCTATGATCCAGAATGATGATGATATGTCATCATTCTAAAAATAACCTTGCCATGAGTGATGATAGAAAAGAAGGATATTTTATCATCCTGGAAATAAAGATAAAAATTTAGCCACCAGTGATGATATATGATGATGATGATGATGATATATGATGATGATGATGATATATGATGATGATGATGATGATATATGATGATGATGATGATGATGATGATGATGATGATGATGATGATATATGATGATGATGATGATGATGATGATATTTCATCATTCTAAAATCTAATTATAAAAAACGACCGTTCCACCACAAGCGACGACAGTTAAGACATTAGGGTCAGTAGAGTGGGGGTTGTCGTCAGTAAAGTAGCAGTAGTAAAAGAGACCACAACACAAACGTATCGCTATCGCTCCGAAAATCGAAAGCTGACGATTTTAGACCCTTTCCTTAATAAAGAAATTCTTGGAATAAGCCGAAAGAAGTAAGCATAAACCTTTAAAGAAACAAAAGAGACAATAAAACTGAAAACATGTTTAACACACGCAATATCAATATTGTAATTAACATCACGAAAAAAATACACATTCTTGTCAACACGTGTCTCAAAGGCATTATTGTTTGTTATTGATGTACGTTGTATTCATTTCGTTTTCTGTAAAAATGAGAGAACTTCATTAACAACCTCAACATCCAATCCGTTACAAACTTTTAAAGGTAACTCCCTAAACAATAATCAAACGAAGACAAATGGTCATGCTGCCTGAAAGTACTGGTGTTACTGTCAGTCATTCTCATTAATCCTAGCAATGATAGAAAGCACATTTGGAAAGAAAATGAGAGAAATCATGCGAGACTGGGGATACAACCAGTAAATAAGAGAAAACTTTCAGCGAGCATTATATAGAAAACAGTTTATAGCAGATAATAAAAAAATAAATGTACAAATTTGGTTGGTGTGCAAAATGCTTGTACCTGAAATTACAGTTATACGAGTCTTTTCTTAGGCTGATGAAATATATCCTGGTTGTGAAGGCTGAATTTTGAGACGTTAAAACAACGTATTTCTACAATGAGAAGCCGATGAAAAAACGGCTCGGCCTCGTGGCCAGAGAGAGTAAAGAACAGGAAGAAAGGGAGTACGACTGCCTTATTTATATCCCCGTAGGCGATTCTCATTGGTTCCGCAGTAGTTTAAGCAATGTCTATTTTTGACCACAGAAATTAGCGTGACATGCAGATTTTAATTTCCTTTAAAATCCGCGCATCTTTTATGATCAATATGTTCTTTCACATTCTAAAAAGTCGTAGAGTTAAGCGAAAATGTAAAAATCTGTGTGCCACACTTATTTTCGTGGCTAAAAATAGATGTGACATTAGGACTAGCTCCATCCCCGACCAATGAGAATCGCCCAAGGGAACATATGGAAAGAAGTAGCGATCCCTTCTTTAACTATTTTTTCACAAGCGCCTTTTTTTTTTTTTTTTTTTTTAGTGAGATATCGACAATAGTGGACGTCACGTGAAAGACTCACAATGAACTGCTCACATTTCACTGCCCCGCAAGCGGCTCCAAAACTCGTCCATTCTTCAGGTACGGACAATTTACAACATATGGACATTTCTTTATCATTCTTTTTCATAGATTCAACAATGATTTAATCTTGTATGGATGCGAAGAGTGATTATCTCTTTTTGGTTCAGACGAAGTCACGAGAATCATATGACGACCGGTAAGTGACGTCTGTTCGAGGAGTGTAAAAACCTCAGTTGTCATGTAACAAGCGTAGAGGCGTGACATATCTGCCGCCGCCAGTAGCTGATGATAGCTCGCTAAGGCGCGAGACGTCATCTCAAAGCCCACAGTGGTAGGGAGAACAGAAGAGCCTACATGGTACTCGAAGTTCTTAGAACGTACCATCAGCCCAACCATTTTTTCCTTGGGGAAATATTACACTCTCACTTCTTTTCTTGCCTCTCTGCTTGTTTTATTCATAGCTTACAATTTCTCTGCATGGGATAAATTAGTGACAAGTATTTATATATTTTTATATAATTTACTGTACAACATAGCATTTTATAAAATCTCTTTGAGAATAATGCGAGTTTGTTGTTCCTTTCTTTCAGATATTCTGTTCCACCCGTGTATTAAGTTGTTACTATGTCACAGATATAATAGTGTTTAGAATAGGAGGAAATGCAAACGGGTAATATTCGGTCTTTCCTTGCATTTCTCATGCGTCTTATTCATTGGTTGTTAACTCAGCTCACGTGTTTTTTCTCATTCTTTTTTTTCTCCTCTAGCATACTTGCAATAACCACTTCACTCCCTGGCCTTTTGAACAGTAGAGGTTTGTTTCCTGTTTAGGACTGAGATTTGGTTCATTATAAATTCTGTTTCAATACACTTCTAACGTCTCCGTTTAAACTATGACACTTTTATTATTTATTTAATAGTTATTTATTTTACAAAATAAAAGTAGATAAGTTCGCCTATCACCCGGTTCATACTGTTCCCCGTTCTTTTGAACAGGAGTAGAGGTTTATCCCTTGTTTCCTGTTTACGATTGAGATTTGGTTCATTCTAAATTCTGTTTCAATACACTTCTGACGTTCCGCCTAAACGCTGAAACTTTTATTATTTATTTTACTACTTATTTATTTTACAAAATAGAAGTAGATAGGTTCGCCTATCGCCCAGTTCATACTCCTCCAAGGTCTTTTGAACAGGAGTAGATGTTTGTCCCTTGCTTTCTGTTTATTAAATACTTTCCGGTTTCTTTTAAAATCTACTTCAACTCCGTATTTAATGTCTCCGCCTAAACTTTGAAATGTAGACTACTACTGGGTTTCCGGTTCTTTCTAAAGTCTTTTCTTTCTCTTTCATTTCCAGTAGCAACTTCCCCCCCCCCTTGCGTCTTAGTGGCATTATCGCCTTGATTGAATTGATGAAAAATTAAAAAAAACCCCAAACAAACCTACAATCTTAGAGTGAGCGAAGCACAGACTTGGAAGTCGCGACGGGAGAATCTTAATGTAGTTTAGCGAATAACTTTGAAAGGATCAACAGTATTTGGTGACAAACAGTTGATACTTTCCTGAAGAAAGTTACAGCTATCATTTCATATGTTTCTCCCACAATTATTACAGACATTCTTTACTTTACTTTCAAAACTTCCTTATCAGAGGTACCCAGGATGCGGATGTAGTTTATCATATTAACCAGGAGGTGGATGTAATTTATCACCTTACGCAGGACGCGAATGTAGTTTATCGCATTACCCATAACGCGGATGTAGTTTATTGTCTTACCCAGGGGTCGAATATAGTTTATCGTCTTACTCAGGGCGCGGATGTAGTTTATCGCCTTACCTAGGGCACGGATGTAGTTTATCGCCTTACCTAGGGAACGGATGTAGTTTATCGTCTTACCTAAGGCGCGGATGTAGTTTATCGTCTTACCCAGGGCGCGGATGTCATTTATCGCCTTACCCAGAACGCGGATGTACTTTATCGTCTTACCAGGACATTACTTTACGGTCATAGGTTCGTAATTTCCACAGATATCATGACTAAAACCAGAAACACCTTGTAGCTAGTTTACAGATAAATTCAGAGAGTCATTTGAGCAATTATTAAAATTTAACTTGCCATTTGCAAAATATTAAAGAAAAACATATAATGAGATCTTCAAATACGATACTAAAGAATTTGATTAATTTGTTTTTTTAAAATTTATCAATCATTTGCAAGTTATTTTGCAGAAAATATTTTTAGATTGTAAGAAGTTTTGGTAGATAATAATGGTTTACTGATACAAATCCTGTTAATGAAACCATATCTGGAGGGAGATGAGGTGGACTTATACCTTTCCCAAGGTTATTTACCCATTAGTGAAATAAGGACCAAATTAGAATTGGAACTCGGCTCTCCAATTAACAATCGATTAGACCACTCGCACTTCCAAGCTTACAGCACCTGGTATTCCCAAACAGTCACCCATCTAGCTACTGACCGGGTTCGATGTTGCTTAACTTCGGTGATCGTACGAGAACCGGCTTTTCAACGTTATATGGCCGTAAGATCGATACTAAAGGAGATTAAAAAATAGACACACATTGAAAGAAAAATTGCTATGTCATTTCAGGACATTGGTGAACATGGTTCTCCACAGTTTCCCTTCCTTTATTTTCTGTGATTTTCTATTAACTCTTGGGAAAGATTGTGGTGTAATTTCCCGTTCACGATTTTGCATTCAGAGTCGTTCTCCTTTTAGACTGGCTGACATTCAAGGCTAGCGAGCTCAGTCTACCTTGCGATTTAACTCACCTCTGGTGGGTTTGGGGAAGAAATGAACTGAAGCCCTCATCAACAGTAAAGGTGCGAAAGTGAAAATTTCAAGCGTATAAGCAAAAGTGAACGCAAATTATGCTTTATCATTACAAGAGGCAGATCCAACCAAAAATTGTGGACAAATATACCTCCCCCTACGTCGTTAATTAGTTCCAGAGGTCACGACTTAGGTCTAAAAAGAATGATTTCTTGACTAATAGCAGCTGATGATTCAATCTATCAATCCAGAGAAAGAAGTTGTTTAATCTCTTCAAAGATTTTCCCTCTTTTCTTATTGGGGCAAAATATAAAGTCACAAATGAATGAGAATGAGAGAGTGGGCGATAAGCAGACATATACCGTGTGTATGCCTAAACTAAACTAGATTTAAATTTCGCGGGAATCATGAGTGGCGCTGACAACGATGCCAAACGGTAGATATTGGAACTACCGTGGAAAACGCCAATATTGAGCTCTTAAAGACCGCTAAATAAGACGACATAGAGTCACAGATGTTTTCATATTTAGTTCTCTAGGATTTATGATGATTTTATTAACATTTACTGTAATTGTATGTATTTTAATATGATTTTATATACTTTTATTCTTATTTATTGTATAGTAACATGATTTTAATGCTTTTCTAGTGGTATTACGACTTCAATATTTGTGGCGGACAGACGTAAAGCCGAATAAACTGATTTAAACATGATTTTTATTTTTCTATATACTTTTTGAAAAATGACGTATAATCGAGAACGACTTAACTCGAAACGACGTAACTCGAGGTATACCTGTATTACTGGCATATCTAGATTGGATCTACCCAGTCCTCACTTTCCAGCGTTTATAGAGTTTAAAAGCGAAAACGTGGTATTGTGGATGGAAAATTATTTCCTACTTTTTAGAGGGAATTCTAACATTTCTCTCTATACGAAATACGCCAGCGGCTCATAGAACTCAATTCAACTTTACTTGAAGAGTAATGCTTAATAGCAGTAGGAGCGTCTGTTTTTTAAACCACCTTTTTCGTTAGACAGCTCATCCCGAATTCCGATATATATATATATATATATATATATATATATATATATATGAAGAAATATAGTCTTAAGATATGCTATATTTATGGGGGAAAAGTGCTCTCTATCAGAGATAGAGCGCCTGTGTAGTTGTATCTGCGATTAAGATATTGAGCCCCCCCCCCCCACGAGGGTGTCATGTGGCACAAGGCCTTTTAACGTGGGCATTCCGAGCCCGTGGGCTCGGCCAAAAATATGCCCATTGAACCCGTATATACGGGTTCAGGGCCGGTTTACCTCCCCTGCGATTACAAAGTCTCTACTACAACGAGCATTACAAAAGTGACAACGAGCATTCGTTGACATCACAAAAAAGTTAATAAAATAAAGGGCGTTGCTTTTGCCGCACCTTGTCTATAGTCAATAAATCGATAAAACTTCGAGTGATTCATTATCATACTTGATCGACTCGAACGTTTCACGTCAAAACTCACTTCCGGGTCAGACGTTCGATAAATCTCTCTCTCTCTCTAAAGCGGCCGTTTGACCAACACAAGGACTGACCAAAATTAATGATAAAAAAAATGAAGATTATAAAGTTCACTTTCTTCAGAAACAGTCATTCACTCCTGTAGTTCGCTGCTAGTAATAAGCAGGGTTTTTTTTTCTCCTGATGATGGCCATGCTGGCCGAAACTAGTCGAGGAACGTAATTAGAATAATAAAACAAAAATATATATACAACACAGTGTGTCTGAAAAATTTAATATTTTTTAGCGTTCAAAACATATGTATGAATATATTTTATATAAGTATAGATAAAATCTTTACGTGTTGAATCATTTTATTTTGAGATTGTTGAAATTTTCTACCGAATTTTGCTAGTCTTAATCTAAATATTAGGCTTGTATTTTCTTGCAGCCCCTATGAAGGGTGTCCGTTGATAGTGAGATCAATAGTTTGTGAGACAAATATGCTGGCTACAGTCTTATCAATCAAAAATATTTTCTCCGTTATCTGTTTTATGCAAGTGGTATGTGTATTGATTTCAAACGGAATTGTTTTGTTATAGTTCAATATAAAATTCGATACTTTTGAAAGTTATCCATCTTTAAGTGCTAACGGCCGTCGTTGGAGATTGGTCATCCACAAGCTAGCACCGAAAGAAACTTTTTAAAAGATAGTTTCTAAAACTTTTCGTTCCATAATTCCATCAAAATTCGCTAAGTATCAGAATCCACACACATGCGCACAAGCACACACGTCTGCGCATTGAAGTGAATCCGTAATCGAGTGGAAACAAAAGGAACTGTCAAAATGTTTTAAGAATGCGTTCCAAAGAAAGAAACGCCAAAAAAAAAAAAAGAAAAAAAAGATAAACATAAAAATCGCCCAAAACGAACAAAACAAAGAAAAAAAAAATTGGTATTCTTCATATGTAAGTCGCTTTAACCAAAGCGTTTTTTTTTGTTTTTGATCGTTTTATTTACTCTCCAATAATAATAATAACTGCAGCAAAATAAAAAAAAAAAAAAAAAAAAATTCTTGTAATTTCTGATTCTATCTCTGCGCATGCGCTCTGAGAACCTTTAATTCAATTTTCGAAACTTGAGTTACTTTGGACCGTTTCCCATTTATTCTTTTCGGAACGAATTCACAAAAAGTCCTGGAGGACAGTTGATTGCATCTGAAAAGGGATTAATTAGTTAATTGAACCGATTGCATATGAATTTAAATGATTAATTAAAATTTTAATTAAATCCATGACAGAAATTTCTTGTGCCCAGCACGTATCAAAACAGCTGGGAATCCCCCACCAATTACCCCTGTTTTAATTAACGTCGAAAACAATATACGTATGATAGTTGAACCAATGTTAGAGCAGTGGACAGAGGTCTGCGAGATCCGTTTCAGCTATAAATGGACGTTTCTCTTTTTATTTGGTTTTAATAAGTTAAAATGAGTTAACCTTTAACATTTTAAAATGGGTTAACCCTTTAACAATATGAAAACATAAACATGATTAGGGCACCTCAGCGTGGTGTAATGGTTAACAAGCTTGTCTTGCTAGAACAATTACGACTGAATAGTGAGTTCGATATTCAATGGGTGCACCAGAACTTTCGGTCTTGTACCACAAGTAAGCTAAGCTTAGAAAATTACCATAAATCCACGTGATTACTTAAATCATGACTTTTTTTTATTGGTATAACAGAAGTTATTAATATATTAAAAAGGACTATCATATACTTAGTCGTTTCAATTATTTCGTTTCGGTTGGCAGACTCTTCGATCTTCCTTATGATATAACTTTTTAGGTCACGTGTTTTCATTAATCTACGAAATATTCGGCAAAACAGGGTTGATTGATTTGTTATTTACAGCTTATCAACCATTAGGAGGTTATTTAAAGCCAGAAAATAATACTAATTTAGTGACACAAATCCTACTAATTAACCCATAGCTGGGGTTGAGAAAGAGGTGGATTCATACAATTCCCAAGTGTATTCGCGCGTGAATGTATATAACGAACCCAATTGGTATTGAACTCGGTTCTCCGACTTCCAATTTCGAGTCATCATCGATTACTCCACCCGCACATCCAAGATTACAGCAGCTGGTATTCTCAAGCGGTTACTCATCCAGGTACTGAAAACGGATAGACGTCGCTTAATTTTGGTGTTCGTATGAGAACATCGGGCAAACAGGCGTATTTCTATTGAAGAGGTCTTCTTTTTTTATATAACCGTTGATTCAACTAGCAAAGATTCATGTAATAAAATCATTTTGAAGATACAAGTTGAAGAAATGTTATTTTTTTTTAAATATAGCCCCATTAAAAAAAGTAATTTTGTAATTAAATATACAAGATTTTGTTGAAATGTTCTTTTTTTTCTGTCATTGTTCTATTAAAAATAAGTAATTTTTTTACTTGAAGATATAGGATGCTGAAATTTTCTCTTTTTCAATCAAAGCCTTATAAAAAAAAACTTATGGTAAAAAATTTGGTCATTTTGTTTGATTATAGAAATGGGTCGTGTCCAGAACTTTCGTGTACCTTATCGTAAGTGTAATAATATTTTTGTGACAATTTCACATTAATACTTGTCAGGATTTACATATGTCGAAGAATCCTTCTGTCAAGGTATTACTTCGAAACATAAAATATTAGATACTAGCCACAATATTTCGTGCAATTCTGACATTATCAAGGAACAAGGAAAACAATTCTGTAGATCCCATCGGCTGGAAGAATTCTAGAGATTCCATCGGCTGGAGGAATTCTGGAGATCTCATCGGCTGGAAGAATTCTGGAGATCTCATCGGCTGAAAGAATTCTGGAGAACCCATCGACTGGAAGAATTCTGGAGATCCCATACAGCAATCGAAGCAAGAAGAAATTTTCTCGTCCATTAATGAAAGGAATAACATCATATGTTTATATATTTCTATAAAAACCAGAGAAAAATGAGACTTTTATCGACACTTCATTATTCAGATGCTGTGTACGATATTATTTTCCTCGGTACTAGAATTTCGCGCCCCTTACGACATCTGTCTGCCACTCATTCCTTATTTCTACCCCTTACAAAATTGGCCCACTTCCTGCCATTTATTTTAACCCCTTACAGTTTCTCTCCATTTTGCGATCCTTAAAACACCTTTCTTAGGGCATCTGCTCATTTCGCCCCACCCCTAGCATCAGTTTATTTCGCCCCCTCATAGCTT